GACCTATTTGAAAGCACTAAAGTTTTGGGTCTTATTTTAAGTTTATTACACTTTATATGTGATCCTTTGTGCTAACTCTTTTATCAAGATATCTAACTGACCTGGTCTTTCCACACATTGTATAGAAAGAACTAAATGTAATTCTGCACTCAACCTGACTCATGCCCACTGTCTTTGGTCATGTTAACCCATTATACTGTCTCTTTATGAGGACTGAAGTCCAGTGATTGTGCCTGATGACAGTGGTCCATGCACACACTAATTCTGCTATTACTTCAAGTATAACAATGCCAGTGAAAGCAACATTTTAGACATATTTTATCTCAAAGTTTGCCTTAGACTTTAATGATGGTAACACTGTCCAAATTAAATATGATTTTTGGCTTTTTACTGGTTATAGTTTTTAGTTTTAACCCGGTTTGATAAAAACAAAATGAAGACAATATTTGATATGTATTTGCTTATCCACTTTTTTTACATATTTTGTTTTTCTCACTGTGTATTACCCAATGTTTTCTGCAGATATCTCTGATGCTGTGTTGCAGTAGAATATCAACATGAAGTTCAATATTTTTATTTTCAGTTTGGATAAATAAGACAGTCATTGTTGAATCTTTCTTGTTTCAATGTGATGTATGTCAATTTTTTGTTTGACTATAGAATCAGACATAAAATATGTAGTGTTTATATAGTTTAGGACTGCTTACCTACATAACTAAATCATATCATGTTTTAAGTAGTGAACCATGGAGACTGTATCTAATATTAACACTAGTTGTTATTTCTGTTAATCCTTTCAAGCTTTGTTTTATTTCAGAACATGTCTGTTCATGTGAAAATGGAACAGCCTGATGATCTACTACAAGTTGTTTACAGTGATGATGAGAATCAGGATAGTTCGTTCAGTAATGTTATGAACCTGACAACAGAAACTGAATTTCAAAGAGAGATTGAACCAGGGTTAGAAAGAACATGTGGTAAGTACAGACATCACCTAAAACTTAAGTTTCTTGACACTGGCTCAACACTTACCAACAGACTTGATTGGTATAACTGATCTTGTAACCCTACAGTAAACGTAATAAAGAATACAAAAGCATAAGGGTTTTTATACTATATCTTCATGAAATTCCTTAAACATTAGTAGTATTTTGTACACAAAAACTTAGGTGTTTAATTACATATCTCTACTGAAACTTTGTTCGTGAATATAGGGAGTTAGTGTGTTGACTACTCCAATTGCAAAGTGATTTTCTTCTTAAGATTTTAAATACTTTCTTCATCTTAAAGTTATCAAATTTCATTTGAGTAATCTCTAAAATATGGTAAATAAATATCAAGTGATTTTTTCAGTAAAATGAAATTTTGTGTATTATCTTATATACATTATCTCTATATACAATTTCTTTATGTTAAATACCTTAGAACTCCTAACAGTATATATCTATTTATACCTAATTTTAATTGTTTTATTGCCCTTACACTTGTGTCTAATTAAAAATCCAGTATTAGTTGTAAATCACTCGACGAATGTGTAGCTTATGTTACTGTATTGAACACGTAACCTACAATCTGTTCATGAGCATACTTCATGAAGAATTTTTATCATTTTTCATTATCTTACTTAACCTAACCTAATGAGATTGTGATTGATATATTTTAGTGAATTTATTAAAGATAAAATATAGAATGCACATCAAAAACAAGAAATATATCACTTCAGCTCTGACCTCTTATTTTTTTTGCTGTCTGTTGCTGAATAGGCTTAAGCCTACTTTTTTAGACTTATAGTACAAATACATTAAATATTCATGTCATATATAGAAGTAAGTGTATATAAGAGAGTGTTTTATTTATTACATGAGCAATATCTTAACAAATAGCTTGTCAATATCGATAATTTGATTTCTAAATCGTACGAAAGTGTAGACTTAGTATTTTGACATCATAAACATCTAATTTGAACCAGTGCTGCATTCAACAAACCACTTGACACACAAACATTGGTGTTTATCTGTGTTTACTTTTAAGTTAGGAAATTGAGTAATATATAGTTCTAAAATTTGAATTATAATCTACAGTTTGATACCAAACTTATTGACATAAATTCATGAAATAGTAGTTCAATAAAATATTGAATGTGAATCAACAAACGAGATGACACTACCTTTCACCTGTGACTCGTCTTGAGCGGGTTAATTGGAAATTTCGTATTCTATAAAGATTTTCATTTCCTGTCTTGGAGGTTTATGTCAATAAGTATAATTAGGCTGTATTCTATCAGTTATTTTGGTATTTGATGTTGAAAACATGAATTTGTGACACATTTGTAATCTTGTTCTATACCATCACCTGAGAATGAGGCTAAAATGACCCAAAATTCACCTCATTCCAGCTTGCATGTGACTTATTGGCTGTTTTGGACGCTTCTTTAATCGAGACCTTATTGCCTATTTGACCATGAAACCCCTTTGATGCTTTGTTGGCACTCAGTGATTAACATATTTGGATCAAACAATGGATTTAGAAAGGATTTGTTACATAGTTTACTCTTGTATGTAGTCATAATCAACAACAAATGTATCTGGGTCCAAATGGGTGTACGAGGATTTCACCAGAGTTTTGTTGACTGTGATTGAACAACATATTTGGGCTGACTATGAGGGTAAAAGAATTGCGTTGAGGCTTTGTTGGACTCATTAATCAACATATTTATACTAACTATGAGTGTATTAGTGAATTGTCTGTTTGTGTTTATGATTGTTCTACAAGTTTGATTCATGAATGTTGAGTCATTTTTGGTTCCCTCAATGTTATTTACAATTCAACTCAGTACCAATGTAGTGGAACATTGCCTTATTCACCTGGTAAAAGCCTTGTCTTTTCCCAAGTTCTCTTGTCTTATGTTTCTGAGGAACAGGTATTATAGACTGACCCTATTTTCATGGCACTTTTTAGTTTATCACTCGGGTGTTTGTTAATACAGTTTTGAGCACATTTCTGTAATACAAGAGGGTGTGGTATTCTAATGTGACTTAATTTTCATGTGTGTATGAGAATTCCTTAATAACAACAGGTTTGAATAGACAATTTAGAGTAATTGTAATTGAAAACTTAACTGAGTTTTGTACCTCTACTAGAAATTAAGGACACTGGACACTCAGAATATAGATGAAAAATCTCTGGAGACTGATTTCTGTACAACTATATTCAAGCATGAAATGGGTTCAACTGAGAAAAAATGAATGCTTCAATCATGCAAGAAAACTTGTATCCTTTCTCTTTTGATCGCTTCATGTTATTTATGGTTTCCCACCTCAGCATGTACATCCACAAATAGCATTTTGAGATGTCAGAGAAATGACTTCGATCCTGCAATGGATGTCTCATAGTTCCAGTAACGATAAGGGTACACCATATTCTTGATTTTAACATTCTTTTATTCCTTTACTCAGTGTTCCCATTGCAATGATGTTGCATTCGAAGAACCACCTGACTCTTTTACATCTTCTTGGATGTCTTCTGACTCAACTGCTTGCATGAATTTCTCCACTTGACAGTTTTGGATGATGGGTATTTTAAATTCAGACATATGTCTACTCTGTAATTACTGTTTTTCTCCATTGAGAGCATTCATCTACCAGGAAAAAGAAAATGCTTTGTTCTGTTACCCTGGCTACCTGTTTAATCATCATCTTGGACTAGAACTGATAATTTGTCTGAGAGTCCATGTATATTTTCAGAACCTGCCCTTTGCTGCAAGTCAGTTCTTTTTTCATGCACTTGCATGGCAAGTAAGAAGTTATAGAAGAAGCCTATTCTGATAAATATATTGTGTGAACTTTGATTATCATTTATTTTAAACATAAATTATATTGAATCTTGTTATAGACTAACCAACATGATTTGTACTTCTAGCTCCAGGAAAAGTTGATTCCTTGGAAGAAAGTTTTCTACATACTGGTTTGGAGTTTGGTAAAACAAAAGAAAATAAAGAAACAAATTGTGATATAGCATCAGAGAAAATTGAGGTAATTAAACTTTTTACAGTTATGTTATTAAAGAAAAGTTGTAGCTGTAATTATGTCTTTCTGGAATTTGTTTGTTTGGCATATAATCAGTAATGACATATTTGTAGGCACGAGCTGAAGAAATTCACTACAAGTTTGATGCATTGTTGTGAATAAACTTATTAGAGCTCTTGTTACAGTATTAATATAGCTAGTCCAGAAGTATTGTAGTGCACAACAGAATGTAAACATGTTTTAGCAAATTTTTTGTTTGACTACAGAATCAGACATAAATTATGTAGTACTTATATAGTTTAGGACTGTTTACCTACATAACTAAATTTGAACTGTTAGGTATATTAATCATATCATGTTTTAAGTTAGTGAACAGTGAAGACTGTACATAATATTAACACTAGTTGTTATTTTTGTTAACCCTTTCAAGCTTTGTTTGATTTTAGAACATATCTGTTCAAGTGAAAGTGGAACAGCCTGATGATCTACTACAAGTTGTTTCAAAGTTCAGTTACAGTGATGATGAGAATCAGGGTAGTTCGTTCTGTAATGTTATGAACCTGACAACAGAACCTGAATTTCAAAGAGAGATTGAATCAGGGTTAGAAAGAACATGTGGTAAGTACAGAAATCACCTAAAACGTAAGTTTCTTGACACCAGCTCAACACTTACCACTTGACTTGATTGGTATAACTGATCTTGTAACCCTATAGTAAACATAATAAAGAATACAAAAGCATAAGGGTTTTTATACCATATCTTCATGAAATTCTTTAAACATTAGTAATATTTTGTACACAAAAACTTAGGTGTTTAATTACATATCTCTACTGAAAATTTGTTCGTGAATATAGGGAGTTAGTGTGTTGACTACTCCAATTGCAAAGTGATTTTCTTCTTAAGATTTTAAATACTTTCTTAATCTTAAAGTTATCAAATTTCATTTGAGTAATCTCTAAAATATGGTAAATAAATATCAAATTATTTTTTTCAGTAAAATGAAATTTTGTGTGTTATCTTATATACATTATCTCTATACACAATTTTTTGATTTGACCAACCTTCTAATCACCATACAAAAATACCAAATACAATTTCTTTATGTTAAATATCTTAGAACTCCTAACAGTATATATCTATTTATACCTAATTTTAATTGTTTTATTGCCCTTACACTTGTGTCTATTTAAAAATCCAGTATTAGTTGTAAATCACTCGACGAATGTGTAACTTATGGTGGATACAAGGTCGGTCAAATTTTCAGACCCCATAGAGTTAGGGTAGAGAAAATAATAGAAAAAATATAAAGTTTTACTTAAAACAAACATTTTAAAAGTGTTTAGAAGGTTCGATGACGAGGAACCCACTTTGAGACTAATAATGGCTGGAGACGGCTTGAATGGCTAATGAAGAAAAACTTTAATATAAGTTTAACATAACAGCAAATGTACAATGTTTCGACAAGGTTTTGTACCTGATGATGACAATTCAAGAGAACCTTGAGTTCTAGGCATGTTGTAGCACAAGATAATTAGTGT